CTTTGACAATAACAATATGCAATATAACAACCATTGTTAATTTCCTATCATCTTGTCTTGAAATTCTGTATCATTTTTAAAAATTATCTTCAAAATACAAACGAGTGCTTAAATACTTTTGTAGCTCTAATTATTTCTGTCTGATTAATTCCACCAGGTGACACTTTCACAGTTGTAGTAGGTAAATCATGAAGAAGAACAGAAAGGCCTAGTGGTCACTCAAACCTGGGGAGGAAGAGGGGCAACAGAAGTTCAGTAAAGTTCAGTAGAGCAGAGAATTACTTCCGGTTTATCTAACACACAGTAGGGTAACTAATGGCTAAAAGCTATCTATGATACATTTTAAAAGGACTAGTTGTGGGTAAAACTCCCAGCACATAAATATGATAAAAGATATGGGCATGCTTACTACCATGGTTTGATTTTTTGTTGTTGTTGTGTGTGTGTATTAAGTTACCATAATGTAACCCAGAAAGATGTATAATTGTCTCAATAAAAAAGAAAATTTCACAGTTTTATGTGCAATGTATAACAAACAATATACTTTTTTTTTTTTTTTTTGGAGACAGGGTCTCACTGTGTATTTCAGATTGCCCTTGAACTCATGGGAACTCTCCTGCCTCAGCCTCCTGAGTGCTAGGATTACAGGCATGCACCCCTACACCTGCCTCCATACAATGTATTCTTAACATTATGTTTTATTTTTAAAGTGTGAAGGTTATATCCCAAAAGGGATATCTCACTTTTATTTTCCATTTATTAATCACTTAGTATTCTCCTGTGAATCATGTAATGGTAGCCTTATGCCTATTTTGGAATATTTTTCTTATAGACTTAAAAGCTTTCTTGATGTTAAGAATATAATCATTCACAAAACTGCGAATTTCCCAGTCTGATGCATGCCTTCTAATTTTGGTTTTACATGTTTTTAATGTTAGGCACATATCCATCTTTTCCCCTGTAAATTTCTTACTTTTCTTGGCCTCTTAGATATAGCAGATGTATGTTGTTCCACTGAGAAGGTTAGATAATATATTTTCTTTTAGCTTTATTAATTTTTATTGCTGGTGTTGTTTACATTTAACTTTTTGACCCATGTACAATTTATTTGGGGTCCTAATTTGAGATAAAGCTTTGAAGTTCTTAGAGAATAAGAAATTCTTCTAATACCTTCACACGGCCTTTAAAGAGATGTTACTAGAGGCGATAATAATGAATAAGCAGCATTCAAAGACATAATCTTCATCATGACCTTTGCTTTCTCCTCCCAGGTGAGCAGGAACCTGCCGTGAGCAGCGATTCTGACATCTCACTGATCATGGCCATGGAAGCGGGGTTATCTGATGTGGAACTTTCCACTGACCAAGACTGCGAGGAGGTGAAATCTTGAAACGGTGAATGTAGAGACGAGAGATAGTAGGGCCCAAGGGGACAGAAGGGAGGAGCGTGCCAAGACTTGACCTGGGCACACACACTTCAGATCACCTTGGAACTCTAGCGCGCTGTGTTCAAGATGGTAATGCAAAGCAATATCCAAAGTCTCATTAATCAGGATGCAGTTTTTCCATCTCTACAGCAGTCTGTGGCCTTGGCAGCTTGGAAGTTGAAAGCTGGTTTCCCCGTCCGTGTGCTTGGACACCTGTATTTCAGAAGCTCCGAGAACAGAGACTGCAAGAAAAACCTTCCGGTTTTCTTAGTTTTATTTCGAGTTTTCTAGGTCTTATTGTTCCTGTTTGGGGGAGCCTGTTTGACTTCTTTGTTGAATTTCTTTTTAAAGACTGTATAGTTTACATCTCCTCCTCTGTTTTTCCCCTGGCTCCCTTCCACTCCCATGTAGAGTTCTGTTTAGAAGCCCCAGTTCCTGCTACGATCAGTTTGTACGACACTCTGAGATTTGTGGTTTTGACCCCTCTCTCGGCACGAAGTGTGCATGGCTTTGAGAAGTGCCTCCACACCTTGAGACCGTGTAAGACCAGCTCTCGTTAAGAACCGAAATTATTTTAGATGGGTTTTTAAAAGTCCAGATGCTAGAGACCCTAACGCTAAGTTCTAAATCTGCTGAGGCCATTCCTCATTATTTTAAGCTACATCCACTGGCTTTGATTCACCAGGATCTGTGAAGGGACCACCAAGACATGAGCAGAGAGTTCCAGGATGTACTTTAGCTCATCTAGGTCTTGCGGTCTCTGGCTGAAATTCTGAACTCGTAAGCACCCGCTACAAGGCAGGAACACTGATCTTCAGTAGCAGTGTCGGGGGCTGCAAGCCTCCATTGAAAACCTAGTACTGTACTATTTCCTTCCTTTTGAAAGCTGAATGCCTGGGCACTGGTGTCCCAAGGCTGGAGCAGTTAGGCACCTCCATGTGAGGGTTCCACGGGACATGGAGGCTTTAGAAGAGACGCAGTCATGTTTGAGCCCCGTGGTGGGTTCAGTGGAGGCTACAGTCGCACTTTGCTTTTACCGTGGTTCCCACGCCCTTAAGTTAAACCTCACCAGACCGTGTAGAAGGGTTCAGATGAATCCTTAGTAGCTTGTTTCTCACCGCTTCCTAGAGGGTCCAGAAGCCCAGAGAGGAATGAGGAGGGATTGGATAAATCATTTGAACTGAAAAATGCAGCGTGGAAATTTGCTGAATCAAGTTTATCTGATGGAGAGGGGAAAACTGGGAAAAGAGGTATCTGAGGAATACTAAAACCCGCCTTTGTTTTTTAAACTTTTTCTCTCTTTATTCTTTCTTTTTTTTTTTTTTTGTAATGATGACAGAAACATGCTAGTTTTGCAGGCGGTGATTTTGTAATACATTCAAACTCTCCAGATGCAGGGGTGACTCAGGCCGTGACCTGTGTCTGGACGGCCAGGTGGGTCACCTTATCATCTCTAAGCGGTTGGCAGAGGCCTGGCCGCTGCTTGGATTAACCGTGAAAGAAAGCTCTTCTCACTGAGCTGCATTTGTGTGTTTGATGAGGGCTTTTCCGCCTCATTACACTAATACTCACTCAAACACAGAATTTGGTTCCACTGTAAACCCTTGCTGCCTGCTGAAACCTGGCATGTGGGTCAGGGGAAAACACTGGTTGCTCTTTTGTCACCACCCAGAATGTTTTCCTGGAATGAAATTCAGTCTCTGAGGAGGAGGAGGAGGAGGCAGGCAGGGGGGGGCGTGAAGGGACGGCTAAATCAGGGGACCAAAGTCCTTGATGAGCCACACCCTCAGGAGGCCTTGGTTTTTCCATCCGTAAAGTGAGGAATTCAGCAGGATAATTTCCAAAGCTCCCGCAGATTTTAGGATCACAGCTGACCGTTCGCCAGTGAGATCCGCTTTTGCAGATAGCAGCCGACGTCAGAGCTGGGGGAGGCAGACGAAGCCTTGGAGGCTTGGCTCGCCTGCGTTGCTGACAGTGAAGATCTAAATGATTCCAGTTTCAAATCCAAGTAGGAGTTGGTTTGTTCTGCCTTGTGTCAGAGCTGCTGTTAGAGCTTGCATTGTCTGCATCCCTTCAAATCCTAGTTCTCGGCGCAGCATCTCAATCTCGACCATGTTTATGTTTCTCAGTCAGCGTTGGCCTTCATCACCTATGCCCCTGAACAGAATTTTGGCAGTAAGAATAGAGGAATTAGGATGATTCCGCAGCAAAGGAAACAGGAATTGTATTTCATACTCAAAGAGACAATGTCCTTTGCATGGTACCGCCTTCTGTTCTGGTAAAAATTTTTCTCTTTGGGATAATGGCCAGAAAAATCAGGAATTAATTGCATAAGCGAGCCCGGGCCACGCGCTACCCTGTAGGATCTTGTAGATGAGGAGGGGCCCAAGAGGTTGGTCTGAGGCCTGTGGATCTGCCCACATGGACGTCCCACTGCAAACCCCGTGAGCCTGTGGGAATTTTCTCTTCCCGGAGGGTTTTAGTGTTTGCTATGGCCTTGGCAGTTAGAAAAATCTTTGTAGTCAAAAAGTTTCCCTTTCAAAAGAAATGGAAAAAGCCCTTCACGGCAGCCTTCCTTGCCACCTTCCCCCAAAATGAGATTCTGTGTGACCTGGAGGCAGGTGGATACACACAAGTGTCGAAGGATGTGTAGCCCGGGGTTGCAAACTATGTGTATTTTCACAAACACATATTGGAAAGGTCGAAGCCAGTGCTGTCTAATAGAAATACAGTGCAAATCATATGTGTAATTTTAAATTTTCTACTAGCCACATGTTAAGAAATAAAAGCAGCAGGTAACAACTTTCTAATAATGTATTTTATTTAACCCAATACTATTGTTTCAGCAGTAATTGATGTAAAAAGTGCTAATGAGATGTTCTTTGTGCGAAGTCTTCTAAATCCATTGTGTGTTTTGTACTCACAGCACATCTCATTTTGGACTTGTGACCCCGTAAGCACTCACTCACCACACATGTCTAGGAGGTACCCACCAGGCAGCAGGGGTCCAGATCTCCTCCAGTCTCCTCACAAGAATCCCTAGTTCTTACAGAAGAGAAAGGCTGAAACTCTAATTAGCTCCAGAGAGCTAGGCACCACCCAAGTCGCCTGACGACAGGGTCAGGGATCCGTTTCTTTTGTAATGAATAAAGACTCAAGCAGCCCTTTTTGAAATTTCTGCTTGAACCTTCTAACCACTGCTGTCCAATCTCATCAGTTGTTATTTCTCCGACTTGTCATCTTTCCAAAAGTCACACCAACCATGCTGATCTGGTGCTGAAGCAAAATTCTGCTTCTGTGACAAACCCTGAAACTGCTATGCTGCATTTCAGGAGCCAGAGAGAATGCTAGACTGAAGTCATCCAACTTGACCTCAATCCCTGGCTGTTCTTTAAAGTTCTTTAAAGGTCTCTGCCCAGTCCCAGTGTTCCCTAATCCTATGGCTCCAGCTAGCACTCATGAATTTGGGAGGAAAGACTAAGAAAAATTATATTGACCCCAAATACAAGATTTTGTGTGGCCTTTCTAAGAACAAACCACTGGGGCATCAGCCCCCAGTTGGTGAATTACAAGCACCTCCAACAGCCAGCGTTTCCCTGAACATCAGCACTGCCCGCTGCCCCTGTGCTGTGGGGAAGGAAAAACATTTCCATTTGCTCTGACTAATTCAGGGTCACCTTAGGAATTCCTACCTCCCGGGTGGCTAGTCCTTTGGAGGAGCTGAGCCCAGATTACTGATAAGTACAGCATCCGAGTATTAATTATTCTCCAGGATTGGATCACCCCTGCAAGGTTGACTGTGATCATCTAGACAAAGGGAGAGGTAGATGATCTGGAGAAGGTAGAACTATGAAAGTATCAAAAGCACCTACCTTCTTTGACATCACCGGGTCATTAATGCTCATGACTATGCAGGCAGGTCTTTGTCCTTTTTCCCCCGCATTTTTTTAGTTTCTTTGCTATTTTGTTTTTAGCATTGTGGTGAAGCATCTGTACAGTCTCAGGTGTGGGTGTTGTCATATCACTCAACAGTCTATGCCCAGTGACCATTTCGGTTGCTTGCCTGACGTCCCTATGGTTCCCACACCTTCAAACCCCAAATGATGACAGCTAACCCAGCAGAATTCATGGCGAGTTTTGACTTCAGTAGAAAATTCTCACAGAGCATGAGAATTCAGTGCCATTTCACTGCCCACTGAATACACCGCTGTGACTAAACACAAAGAAATCTCACTGAATCAAAACTCTTTTCCGAAAAACTAGGATGTGGGCTGGGTGTGGTGGCATACGCCTGGAATCCCAGCACTCAGGAGGCCGAGGTAGAAGGACTGACATGAGTTTGTGAGTTTGAGACCAGCCTGGGATACATAGTAAGTTCAAGGAGAACCTACATCACAGTGAGACCTTGTCTCAAAAAGAAAAAAAAAAGGAAAGAAAAGAAAAGATCTGGGATACGGAGTCACTTCTGTGGAGTAAGGGCCCAATTCTGTGGTACTATGGCTACTGAAGCAATTTTCAGTAGCATTTTTATATTCTCTTACTTGGATTCCTTTCCTTATTTCTGTTTTTCTGTCTTTGGCTACCTGTCTGTCTGTACACACACACACACACACACACACACACACACACACACACGCACATTTCCCATCTTCCCTTCCTCCTCTCTTTTCCTCCTTATTTTATTTCTTCATTTTCTTTTCTCACACGAAGCTCTCAAATATCCTTCAGGACAAAAGCCAAATAGATGGCTCCATAACTATAAGAATTACTATCCTCGTCATACTTACTATGACTGATGGCGTTTTTCTTCTTTTCATTGTGTAGTAATATCTGTACTTTTACTTCTGATGAGGAAAAGTGGTCTACTATAAAGGCAAATGAAGTTCTTTCCTAAGCCAGTCATCTTCGTTTTTTACTTCTTTTTTTTTCTAGGTTTTGAGGATTAAACTCAGGGCCTTCATGCTGAGCTTTATCCCCGTCTTTTCTTTTCTTTCTTTTTTTTTTTTCTTTGCGGCAGGGGAAGATCTAGCTAAATCACTAAGTTGCCTGGATTGGGCTCAAATTTGCAATTCTCCTGCCTTGGCCTTGCAGAGTGCTAGGGTTACACGCTTGCACCACCATATCCAGTTCCTTTTTTGCTTTTTTTAATCTCTGGTTTTATCTCAAGCCACCTATAGCTGTTGCTTTTTTGTTTTGTTTTTTCGCCTGCAGTGCCAGAAAAATTTCCTAAGCAAAAATGGCAAGGTCACAATTCCAAAATGCTGTCTAGACCTCTTATCTTCCACTGCCAGAATATTAACCGTCCAGGTTCTCCTCATGCCCCAGGGTCAGGATTTGAGTGTCCTATGCCTGCTGGCCACTCATGCTGCTTAACATCTCTGCACAAAGCTTCCTCCTTGTAAGTGATCTGGGGGCCTCTGAAAACTGACAAAGAGGAACAAAGAGACCGTCCTTTAAAGGTGGGGGCCGTGAGGTTCCTTGTGCGGTGCTTGGTGCCACGGCAGGGACTGAGAGTGCAGTTGGTGATTCTGTCACAAGGGGAAAGGGACTGCAGCCCTGGAAGAAGTCAGAACGGAGGCCGCAGGGCTCCCAGGGAGGGCGCTGGGCGAGGCAGGGGTCAGAGCTTCTGTGCTGAACACATAGACGTGCTTCCTAAAGAAATGCCCGTTCCCCAGGTCTAGAACTGATACGGATAAGGGGGCAGGTTGTTGAAGGAATTAAATACTGTACCTCTCATGACTGCAAAGGGGATCTGGGTAGCTGCAGAAGTAAATTCATTCTGAGAAGCAGGCATGACTTCCTCGTTGTCCCTTAGCTCTTCCCTTGCCCCGGTTTTCTGCACACTCCCCACCCCAGGCTCTTTGTATTGGGAACAGCATTGTTTAAAGACTCAGAGATCAATAGCAACATCCAGGGGCTGGGGATTTAGCTCAGCGGCAAAAGCGCCTGCCTGGCAAGCGCAAGGTCGTGAGTTCGGTTCCCAGTACCGGAGAAAAAAAAAAAAAAAAATAGCAACATCCTTCTGTGGTGAGACTTTGATGGCACTAACTTCTCATCTTGAAACAAATGAACAGCACCCGGACCCTAGATGTGGCGCTGAGTTACCGAGCCCTGTACATGTTAAACCTGCTTGTTCTACAAAAATCTGCTTAAGGTTGGTCACAGCTCTTTCCCTGTCTCACGTGCTTCGTAATCCAGTGGCTTTTTAAGGAGCCTCAATGATCAAAGATCTCCTAACCCTGGGCTACTCTTGGTGTTTGCATTTAATCCAGAGCCATTTTCTCTGTAGCCACTCACTACATATTTATTGATGACAATGTTAAAACAAGAATATACATCTCTTGCAGCCTGGGCTATAGCTCAGTGGCACAGCGCTTCCCCAGCAAGTGCAAGGTCATGCGTTCAGTTCCTTGTACCCAAAAAAAAGACTATACATCTCTTACACACCTCTTAAGAAGCCCGCAGGTCTGAACAGAGGGAGAGAAACTCCATGAGAAGAGAGCTCAATCTGATTTACCCAAAGTCATTGCTCAGTGAATGTCTGTAGCCCTGGAGGAGCAGAGTGTATCGAAGGGCCATGTGTGCTGTATAAACCAAAGACTGATCACCATCCAAGTGGACCCGTTTTTTCCATTGACTAGCTGAATTTCCTCCTCATATGCTCATAATTAAAAGGGAACACGGTTCTCATATTTGAATGAAACCTTAACAGGGTTTCTTTTGCAGGCTGTTGATCAACCTTGTTAAATCCAGAAATCTCAAATAAGCAAACGGTGGCCTTAGTACCACACTATCTCAAAAGTCCAGTGTTGAGTCCCCTTTTTCTTCAAAACTTTCCGACAAGTCTGGCGCTTTGTTGAACTCAGTTCTGTGCTCTTTGAGAATGTGAAGATTTTAAATAGCCAAAGAATTTTCACGTAGAAGAACTAGCTCATTATAGGATATCCTGCTCCCTGGAGAAAATACCGAACTGTTGCCTGTACTGATAGACAGCAGAACAATTAAACAATGACTAACACGAGGACTTAGCAGTCTCAATTTGCGTTGGCCTCCGCGGTATGCACTGTTCCGTAGGCAGTTATTGAAAGGCGAACAGCACCCTCTGCTGGAATAATACCATTCTTTCAGAAAATCAGTTTTCACTTGGGTCATCATTTCCTCAACTCATTATTTGCCTTTTATCAACCAATTTTCTGCATAGTTGAGAATTTGGTCTGCATTTATCAAAAGAGAAAAGAATGTGACAGACTCTGAAAAGTTGAAAGAGACCTCACAAAAGAGCTCCAGCCCTGTCTTCTGCAAAATGTTGGCATGCACTGATGCTGTTTGCAAAGATCTCTCGGGCTGACATGTGTGTGATGAGTTATAAGCAGAGGTCGGCTTAGTGGGTCCCTTATCTCAACTTTCTTCTCGTGAAATCACAAAGGAAGATCAATAAAAGGACTTCTTTCATATGAATGTAAATGGCGTGAAATGCTGATGTGTTTTGTACATGTACATACTATATTTACTTCCTGCTTTCACATTAGTAATCTGAAATAGTTGTACCATTTTATAATTAGAGATTTAGGGGCGGGAGAGGTTAGAAGGGGCTGTTATTTTTATAGTGGGATGTCCCTTATATTTAGACAACTTGAAGTAATTTTGTATTTGTGAAAAGTTACATTCCATCCATTTCCTTAAAAAAAAAGATACTGTTCTTTAAAATGTTCATCAGCTTGGAGGAAGATGATTCTGGTTTTCAGCAGAGTCTCCCAAACAGTGCATATGTGACACCAGTTTTGCAGACTGCAGACCATAACCAGCAAATGCCAGTTTTAAAAATGTGAAAAATAAACCTAACTTATACGAACCCTTTTGTAGAGCACAGCATTATTTCCCACTGGAAAAAAAAAAAAAAGGTCTGCAAAGAATGAATTTCCATTCATAAAATTAGCAGTCATGACATCATAAATCAACCTCCAGTATCTCCCTGCTAACAAGGGGGGATCCAGTGGCTTCGTGTTGCTGTCCTAACATAAATTATGAGCTTTCGTTGTAAAATGA